AACTATCTACATGCCAATTTATGGAAGAGAAGGGAAAAGTATTAACTATTTGTTACTCTTTCCTTTTAGAAACTATCTACATGCAATTTATGGAACATTTCATAAATGCATTCTGCATGTATTTTAAAGAAAACTAATATAGAAAAATGTTTTAAGAAACAAAATACTGAATAGAAGGGGTTGAAAAAATACAAATATATTTTATACATATCCATCCCCCCCTTTTTCATAATCTTAATGCAATATCTTAGCTAATGCAGGCAGAATTTCGTTCCTGTCCAACTGATACGAAAATGAAAACAATAATGAAATCTTGTTTGGGAGTCAGGTATCTGCACTTCAGGTGAATATATCTGCTAGTGGCAATGAAAGGGTAAACTTACTATTTATCCAGATATTGAGTTTCTTGTAACATTACAAATCACCAGATTGTGTTATCATATGTGTTGGATTATATTCAATCTACTAGTTATTGGACTTTAGTCACCTGGTGTGTTTTGGGCACATTTAAATTTTTCCAGCATTGCTCAATATCTTTCCAATAAAAAAAAAAAAAAAAAAAAAAAATTCAGACTCGTAAAAATATCTATTTTTTTGAGCATCATATGTTGATTTACAATATTCTCATCTTTACGCATAACTTTAAATTCACTGCATTTGCCAGATTGAGCCATACATCTAATTTTGAAAATAAATCCTAATTCTATAGTTTTCTTAATTCTTATTTCTGTTGGGATTTCAATAACAAACTGTGAGATCCTGTTTCATGATCTTTTCATGGTGAATTTCATGTTTCATGATGAATTCTGTTCTACCTCGTTTTATCCTTTTTTTTCTTCTTTTTTATGAGTCACTAATAAAGTATCCTTTGTTAGTTCTACCTAACTGTGATACATAGAAGTCTTGCTTGCACATATTTGTATATCATATAACCACAAGTGAGAAAAGCTGATTTAGGACATTCTGATTAACAATCATAAGGGAAAAAATATACCATATCTACTGAATAGGGCTGTATTAGCTGAATGAAACTTATGTACCAAATATATACATTTTAAAATAAACATCTTGTATGTTTACTTTTACAAGACCCCTTCATAAAGCTCTGGGCTTGCAGGAGATCCTAAGCCAATGGAAAGGTTAACATTAGGGGTCTCTCCATCCTTGGCAATGCGACTATTATTATACTTGCTGGCATTCATATTGACTTTTAGAGTGGTTGCCGAGTGTCCCTCTCTCTCTGCAAACATCTGAAAAAAGAAGAGAATAACTGCATGTACAAAAAGCACAGTATGAAGGCTTTGTAACTCTTAAGTTGACTTAGGTGTGGTATTGAACCTTTTTGCTTTTCTTGCATCTTGCATCAGAGTTTGCAAATACCTCTTGAGTAGAGAAATCAAAAGTTATGCAAACACTTTTATAGGAATCATTAAGCTACCTTAGTAGAAGAGGAAATTGCCTGCTGTGCCAAATAAGCAATAGAGCACAGTTGGCTATGAATTGAACTTAAGCATACACTAATCACAAGACAGGAATTCTATTTTTATGCCCTACAAACCATACTCTTACAATACACTATACCTTAAGAAGGGGAGGCATTTCCATAGTCTGTGGAAAAATTTTAACATCGCAAGGTATAGATTCTTCAGCTTTTTGTAAATATTTCGCTTCCTCGTGCTTGTGTATTAGCCGGAAATCTGTTTTGTAGGAGGTTTTTGATAAGTTCACAATGCCCATGTTCTTTCCTCGAAATATTTGTTCTGCAAGAACTTTGCCTCGCATATTGTCCTGAAAATTACAAATAAGTAAATTATCTACTGCAACACAATAGTTAATAAAAGACATCAATATCAGATTTCATATTTATTGAATAAAAAATTTCAAACTTATTAGCCCTGTCACTAGAGAATTAAATTCAGTGCATTCAATTATTCACCAAAAAAGAGAAATGATATCTTCTATTTCTGTAAAACATTTCCAGTACGTCCTATAGGTTAGCTTTTAATATCCTGCACTTATATTCTTTGATTCTCGTTCTGTTATTCAAGATTTAAGGAAATATAAGGAAAAAAGAAGAAGAAGAAGAAGAAAGAAAAAAAAAAATGTAAAACCCCTTCTACAAATAATGAAAAAAGTTACCTAATATGACCATCACGAATGAATTTACGCATTTTTAAAATGTTTGTACTTTCATTTGTACATACATTATATGGAAGTCGCTGAGTGTGTCATGCATTTTTATCAAGGCCATGGATTAAATCCTCCTTTCAGTTGACACAAATAAAATTTCAGAATGACAAATCTCTTCACTCCAGAAAAAAAAAAAAAAAAAAAACTAAAACTAAATTTAGGAGAGTAATTAAAAAAACTTGGATAACTAATACTGAATATTGATAAATAATTCAGTTCACAAAAACCTAACATATTAATTTCCACATTCACTTCAGTTTCATATTTATGATTATCTATCTATCTATCTGTCTATCAATCTACATACAAA